GAGAGTGGGGAAGAGAATTCCCTTAAAGCCCTGCATTGAGGGGAAGGGGAGTTAAATTAGTTTGATCTGTTTTGTTTGGGAGGCAATTCAAAGGGATTTAAACATTGTTCAGGGTTCTTACTGTACAGTTCTCTAAAGAGTTTTGTTATGAAAAGGTTCTAGATGATTTAGTTGATGTGAATCAAGCGTAAATCGAGGGACAGAGGCCCTGGGGAGTTGGTGCTAGGCAGCCCCTCATCTCCTGTTTGCTCACCATGTGCACGAAGGATGCCGGCCCAGGACACGTGCGTGCAGATGCTGAAGACCGCAGGCTCCAGTTCTCATCCACTCTGTGGGCTGAATCATGCTGATGGTTTTGCTGCCTAGCTCTCCTGATGTCTCGCCCCTGTCCCCAGGTTGGGATTTGTTCTGATGGGAGTACTGGGGAACTTTGCCCATCGGTTCCATACTCGAAGAGTTGATTTTAAGCATGGATTGCTGGGCTGCTCCGTAGGGCAGAGTCTGAGGGCTGGTCAAGTTGGTCTGTAAAAGGCCTTGGCAGAAGCATGTGGTTTACATGTGGCAAGTGGGGACTGACAGCACCAGGGCAGGGAAGCAGTAAATCGTTGAACAATTTGAAACTCTATAGAGGGAGACAGCATGGATAGAAAACTTGAGGGTAAACAGTCCATATTAGCTGAGTTTTAAGTGCTCCAAAGTAGCATTCTGTGCATTTAAGAAAATGGCTGTTTTTTTTCTTCCTGAAAACTAGAGAGACCCAAGAAAAATCCTGTGATCTCTGTGAGAGACCTCTTGTCTTCAGGGTTTTTAACTTTATCAGCATCAGTAATGTTAACGACCATTAAGAAACCCCACTGGATATGTTTTGTGACATACTTACTTTTCACATTCTGAGCTGGTGGCCTTGTGCCTTCCCAGTGTCCCCTGAATGTCCTCAGCATCCCCTGTGTGTGGCACCCGTGTCTCGTGGTTGAACTGTCCCCTAAGGTTCTAGGTGTCCCCTCTCTGTGGTGCCCACGTCTCCTGGTTGGACTGTCCCTGAGTGTCCCGGGTGTCCTTTCTCTGTGGTGCCCACATCCCCTGGTTGGACTGCCCCTTCGTGTCCTGGGCGTCCCCTCTCTGTGGTGCCCACGTCTCCTGGGTCTCCTTGTTGGACTGTCCCTGAGTATCCTGGGCGTCCCCTCTCCGGTCACTCGTGTCCTGGGTTCCATTCAGCCTTTTTGTTTATAGCAGGTCCTATATTAAACCTTTCTGTAGAAGTTAACTTTAAATAAAAAGAGTTGGCCAGGCACAGTGGCTCACACCTGCAATCCCAGCACTTTGGGAGGCTGAGGTGGGCAGATCACCTGAGGTCGGGAGTTCGAAACCAGCCTGACCAACATAGAGAAACCCCATCTCTACTAAAATTATGAAACTTAGCCGTGCGTGGTGGCGGGTGCCTGTAATCCCAGCTACTCGGGAGGCTGAGGCATGAGAATTGCTTGAACCTAGGAAATGGAGGTTGCAGTGAGCTGAGATTGTGCCACTGCACTCCAACCTGGGTTACAGAGTGTGTCAAAAAAAAAAAATTATTTAATATGGCCGGGCGCGGTGGCTCAAGCCTGTAATCCCAGCACTTTGGGAGGCTGAGACGGGCGGATCACGAGGTCAGGAGATCGAGACCATCCTGGCTAACACAGTGAAACCCCGTCTCTACTAAAAATACAAAAACTTAGCCGGGCGAGGTG